TAACCAAGAGGCTATTTGCAACTGATAGCCACGGACGACGGAAAACTCAGTTTTCTCCAGTGCAGTGTCACTGGGTACAGTAACCACACTCCAGGGCAGGCCCACGTCCAGGAGTAGATGGCCACACAAAACAATCTCCACAGTTTTTGTTTGGACAGACTTTTGTTTTCTATGTGTTTTTTGTCTTATTGATTTTTTTCTTTGATTTTCGTTCTGCTTAAGAGAGAAAGGGAGGGCACACAAAGATGGGTGGGTGGGTGGATAGAGAGGTGAGAAGGATCTGGGGAAGAAAAAAAAACATGATCAAAATATATCGTATAAAAATATTTTTAAGGAAAAAAATCTCTTTGCTCACAAACATTGCCTTTCTGCTCTGTAAAGTTCTTATCTTTGCTTCCTAATGCCTTGCACGCTGTTTCAAATCACTGTCTGCTACTAATCCACAAAATATTCCTGACCCAAACAGGCGGACTCTCCCACACTCTCACAGGTCCTGTCACTAACAAGAATGCTCTCTTTCACAGGAACAAAACCATCTTTTCATGTCAAAAACACCACCACATGCTAGTTCATACCTAATAATTGTAGAAATATACTGAAAAACAAAAAATGGCCTCACTGTTAAAAGTAGTGAAGCAAAAAGGGGGCCACAGCAGTGGCATTTCTAGCCACTATTGGCACCCACAACACACCCCCACACAAACACCCACAACACACACACAGAGCTTAGATTGTAGGTGGCTAGCAAATTTTGCTTCAGTTAATTCTCACAGTGACTTTAAATGTTCCTTCATGGATATCAGTACATGAAATACACAAGTTGTCGTGTGTGTGCTCGTTGATGTGTGGCTGTGGCACATAGGCAGAGGATGAAGGACAGCCTTTGAGTATTGGTCCTGCTGTAAAACCAGGCTGGCTGGGTACAGGCTAGTCAGTCTGGCTTCTGTCCCTGTCTCCTATCTCCTTGCAGGAGCACTCTGGGATTACAGATGCTGCACTACCATGTGCAGCTTTTACTTGGGTTTTGGGGATCTGAACTCAGGTTGTCAGGCTTGTGTGTTGTGTGACAAGCACAGTTCCCATGGAGCCATTTCCCCAGCCCAGGGCACTTATTGGTTTGTTGTTGTTGTTTTTGTTTGGTTTGGTTTGGTTTTTCAAGACAGGGTTTCTCTGAGTAGCCCTAGCTGTCCTGGAACTCACTTTGGAGACCAGGCTGGCCTCAAACTCGGAAATCCATTGCCTCTGCCTCCCAAGTGCTGAGATTAAAGGCGTGCGCCGCCGCCACCACCACCTGGCTGAGGGTACTTATTCTTACCCTGCATCTTACTAATTAAGAAAACACCGTCTAAGTAGCGGAGATGAGATTTGGATCCAAATATGTCTATGAATCTCTGTTCTTTCCAAGGTCACATTGCCTCAGTAATCAGTATCAGAAATAGAGATGGAATTGAAAAGGAGGCTTTTTGTTTTATTTTTAAAAGTCCACACTTTGTTTTCCTAAGAAACATGCATGTTCTCCCCCAAACCAAGTGCTGATAATTTAGTCCTTTCTGACCAGGACTCAGTCTGAAGTCCTCCTTCCTCATCCCCCTGGTTCTAGCTACCCTCACCTCACGGATGGGGTTTGTTTTTTTCTTGGTCTAATGTACATCTGTTTTAACTTTTCTACTGAGTAATTTAGGTGGACAGTTGTTTTCCTTTAATACTTTCAAAGTGCTATTCATTCTTCTTCTTTTTTTTTAATCCCCTTCTGTTGTTTGGGAACTTGGCTGTAGTGGCAGCACCAAACTAGCGGCTGTGTGCCACTCACTGCTTGGTTGGTGAGTCCCCTGGCCACACTTCCTATCTTCTCATCTTCTTTGTCTGTACACGCCTTCAACACAGGGAGTCCCCATGGGTGCCATTGTTACTTAGCTTGTTTGAGGTGTGCTGAACTTTAGACATCTGACTTTTACTAATTCTGAAAAATTCTAGGCCTTATTCCCTTCATGTATTGCTTCTTCCTCATTCTCACTACAACTTCTTCTGGAAGGGTGACTACAAGCCCTAGGCTTAGGAGACTCCATGTCCCTGCATGTTTCTCCATCTTCCCATCTCCCGGCACCATGTTCTGCCTCAGTCCTGCTCTTCAATCTGTGCACACCAAAGTTTCCACTGTGTCTAACCTACTCAACTAGGCATGCGATGAGCTTGGACTTCACCTGCTTCGTTTCTTCCTTCCTGTAAATCAGTTCCAGTTGGTTCTTTAAAAACAAGGTTGCTTTTAATAACCCATTTTAAAGGTTATCAATTCAATCTCATTTTCCTAAATATTTGAAGCACGATTATCTTGGCTCTGGACAGGAATAACAAAGCTCAACAGTACAACTGCCATTTATTTCTCACTTCTTCCCTTGGGTATCGTAACAGCTGACCTACGTTGTGGGAAGAGTGTTTCAGGCTGAACTCATGTTTTCCACAGATCCACAGAGGCATTTGCTAGGTACTCTGGAAAATCCACAGTGAGAGATTAGTTCTTGGTCTGAAGTTTCTGGGATCACACAAGTAATACGTTTAAATTCCAAACTTCCTTCAAAGTGGTAAGTGGCCTATCTGAATTCCAGATGGGTCAGACAAGTTGGTTAGGAAAGGCCTGGAAACACTGGTACCTAACTGTAGCTAGAGTTTTCCTGCCTGGCCCACAGTCAGGACAAATCTCTGTCACCTGCCAGTCCCACAGCCACTCAGACCCAACCAAGTAAACACAGAGACTTATATTGCTTACAAACTGTATGGCCGTGGCAGGCTTCTTGCTAACTGTTCTTATATCTTAAATTAATCCATTTCTATAAATCTATACCTTGCCACGTGGCTCGTGGCTTACCGGCATCTTTACATACTGCTTGTCCTGGTGGCGGCTGGCAGTGTCTTCTTCTGCCTTCCTGTTCTTTCTTTTCTCCTCTCTGTTAGTCCCACCTATACTTCCTGCCTAGCCACTGGCCAATCAGTGTTTTATTTATTGACCAATCAGAGCAATTTGACATACAGACCATCCCACAGCACCTAACTATAACAGAGAACCCATGTTGTTTCAGGAAAAACCTCTAGCACCCTCCCAAGCATGGTCTGAGGCTGGCTTTCAAGAGTGAACATGCATAGAAGCAGCTAGCTCTACCAGTCAATGCTCTTCTAATATGAGATCTAAATCCCTAATGGATAACATACTAACTCCGCTCAGAAATAAACTTGCAAGTATTGTAGATTGGTAGTAGGATGCTTGTCTAGTATACACGAGGCCCTAGGTTCAATTCCCAGCCCTGCAATAAAATAAAGTAAAGGCAGCTTGCTTGCACTCAGGAATGGTGGTGCACACTTGGAATCCTGGCACTCAGGAGGCAGAGCCTAAAGGACAGCTGCACATTTGAGGTACGCCTGCAATCTGTGAGGAGGCGCACTGCCCTCCTATGCTAAGAACCCTAAAATTCTTTCTTGCCATCTGACCAACAGTCTGCTTCTCCCCTCTGTCTTCATACAAACCCTTGCTACTACCCAAGTGGCAGACAAATCCACGTTGAAGAGCCCCTGGCCTCCTTGCTGGGCTGGAAGTACAATGAAGATTTTCTTTTAATAAAAACCAAGTTCCACAATATTGGCTTCAGTGCCCACCAGGAAGTGTATCCTCTTTGCTATGAGAAGCGTGGCCAGATTCTCAGAGGAAAAATCTTTCTTCTCCCTCATCACGTTAAAAAAAAGGCCAAGGCAGACAAGACAGTCCAGCACTTCTCTTTGCTGTTAAATACTTTTTCCATTAAATATATAGGTCTACCAAGTACAGGCCATAAACAGGGGCTCAGTTCCAACTTCTGCCTCTCACAGATCCAAGTACCTGTCTCTTACCCCTATGTGACCATAGACATTCCTGTATAGATCGAAAACCCCAGTTTACTACACTGTTTACTGAGAGAAACTTCCAGCAATAAGGTCTCCAATTACAAAACTCACTGACCTAAGCAGTGAAGACTCTGCTTGAACAGACCAATTCACTCTGAATTTGAGAGTCAAAGTCATGGGTGACTAAAGAGAAATGGCTACTTCCCTTCACAGAGAGGGATCTACGAAGTATTCCTGCTACTGCAATCCCATTCACACTCTCAGAGGGAGCTGGCTATTCTGAAAGAGGTCCGGAAGAGCTGACTTGAACAACTGTAGGGGGACCTCTAACTCAGAGGCAATTATACTTCCAAAGAAGCTTAACCGAGAAGGGACTACACAGGTTAGGAGACAAAGAAGAGTCCAGATAAACCGGGGGACAAAGACAGGAGGCGACATTGTACCATATAACTTCCTAGTCTTTGATGTTTTAGTCATGTGAGAGCAGTAAGAACAGTTAAATGATAAGCTGAGCATGGGCCACACACCTGCCACATCTGTAATCCCAACCTTTCAGAGGCTAAGGAAAAAGGATCATGAGTTTGGGTGTAGCCTGGAATAACAGAGTGAGATACCAACTTGAGAAATAATTTTAAAAAAATTAAACGTTAAACAACTAGACTAAAAAAAAAAAATCAGCCAACATCCCTAACCAGTACTGTCACTAATCTGGTTATTTAATGACAGAATGTGAGATTATGGAAAACAAGGAAGCAAATAGAGTTTTTCCTTCTATGGTATTTACTTCTTTACTCCTTACAGCTTTCTACAAAACACATCACGTTTTTAAGGGAAAGTCACTATAGAACTCCTTATTTTTCTTTTCCTCATTTCATGTGGTGCCCAAGCATGCACTCAAGTGTGTGCACATGTGTGTGTGTCTGTGTGTGTGTGTCTGTGTGTGTGTGCATTTTCTTACATGGGTGGGTATGGAAGGGCACATGTGGATGTGTGTGGAGGCCCAAGGTTGAATAAAACCTTTAGAGCAGCTACGGCAGAAGGCCAATAAAAATGGGGAAAATACTGTGCTTTATTTAATCCTACTCATTGAATCCAATTCTATTTTAAAAAGCACTCGCTTTTTTACTTACCTTTTGGAACAGCAGGCTTCATAGCCATCCTGCCAACCAGGCACTCTTTCAGCATGGATTCATAATTGACCCAACGGTGAACCTGGGAGATGAATGGCCAACAGCAACATGACTCTAACCTCCACAGGATGTTCTCGTTTTACCATGAGCTGAGCTAAAACTTCATACACTGCTCTGAAGTAGACGTAATTAGCCAGCATCTGATAGAGACTGTTTAGAACAGTACTCTCAATGTGTTGTCTACAGACCTCTGGGTATTTCTGACACTGTCAAGTGTCCACAAGGTCCCAACAATTTCAAAAGAACATTCAGATATAACTTGCTCTTTTTCCTTCTTTGTCATTTGCAAAGTGCTTAAGAATATCCTTCAAGGCCGGGCGGTGGTGGCGCACGCCTTTAATCCCAGCACTCGGGAGGCAGAGCCAGGCGGATCTCTGTGAGTTCGAGGCCAGCCTGGACTACCAAGTGAGTTCCAGGAAAGGCGCAAAGCTACACAGAGAAACCCTGTCTCGAAAAAACCAAAAAAAGAATATCCTTCACAATATATGAAAATTATTGCCATATTCTTCCTGTACGATAAAACAAAAAATTCTAACTCACGCTGGTCTGGAACTCACTATGTAACCAAAGCTGCCCTCTAACTCACAGCCATCCTCTTGCTTCAACCTCCTAAGTGTTGGGATTACAGGTGTACATCACTATGCTGCAGTGTAACAGCTATGCTGTTTAAATTAGCAAACGCTTAAAAAAAATTAAATGTTCAATTGTAAAAATATCAGTAAAGAAAAACACAACATTCAAAAACATTAGTAAAGAAAACCATGTATTCAATTATCAATTTATTCAATATAATTATCAACAGTCATAATGTAATGTTCAAACATTAAAATAATTAGGTCAAATAATATTGTTAACAGGGTCTTAATAGTCTTGAGGAAATAACACTAAATAGCAAATACATTACAAAACAGACATGAACTTATTATTATTATTAGAAACTGAATTTTACTTGCAATTACTTACAGTACATGCATTACTTTGTAAATTCCTGCCTTTGGGAGGTGAGAATGGGGGTAATTTCAGCAAACAGATAAAGGAGACAGAGATTTAAGGAGGCAAGGGTATAGGGTTTGTCATTCACAGGACTCTAAAACAGCAGGCACTTAAAGTATGTTCAAAGTAGAATATTTACTCTGACATACTATTCTATTTAGGGTCTCAAAGACCAATCAGATGACTAGATTCATGTCACTGTTAATAATGACCACTTAAGAGGTGAAAAGCAGGGTGTTGCTTAGACAATTCATCTTTAAGAAGATGAATGTATTTGTCTTGTTACCCAAACTGGACCTAACAGAAAGCTATCCGGACAGTACTGAAGTGTCAGAGCCAGAAACAGCACTGAGGACTTGAACTACAACAGTGGGAAAAAAAGGGATCAGGTTAATGAAAGAGTCCGGCCAGTGACCACACACTGGGCCATGATGGGAAAAGACAGACTACTCAGTAGCTCAGTCCCTTTCTCTGGAAACGGGCAACAGGAAACACAGAGGGAAGGTAAGCCAGTGCGCCAGTGCCATCACTGGAGACTGAGTTGGAATACCAACAGGCCATCAAGCTGGCCTATCAGTTATGTGGAAATGACAAAATAAATAAGGGGTCAACAGTGGGATCAAAACTGAAAACAGATAAAGCTGATAAAGATATGAACCAATATGTTCTTTGTACAACTCAAACATGATGTGTAGGGAAATTTTTATAGTGAAAGACATCAGACGTTTCTAGAAGACACCAGAAGCTTCTAAAATACAAAACTCTATTTCCACAGTAAAAAGCATAAGTAATTAATTTTACTAGTTCATTAAAGCCAGGGGATGCAGCAAAGTGCTAAGTAAAGTACGGTCTTCCTCACATGTGTCCCACATAAACTCGGTGCTGGGCAATACAAGGCTTTCTGGAGAAATCTTCTGCTGAAGAAGTACATTCCACCAGAGAACAAGGGAGAGCCAGGAGACAACCACAGCAGCCAAGTGAGGCAAATGTCCCTAAACTGACTCGGTTTGCATTGTTAGAAAGTAACAAACAGCAACAGCAAAGGGAACGTCTCTTAAAGGAGCAAGGAGACACTCCCAAGGGAATGCTACCACAACCAATGAGCAAATCAGATTTCACACCACAAAGATGGGCACCAGAGCAAACAAGTCCCACCTTTAAAGCAGGTGCACCAAAGTATTTTTAAACATAAAACAAATTACATTTCTGACAACCTGATCAAAAAATAACTACCTATAATCTCAGAGATAAATAAAAAGTATTTAAAAAAAATAAGTTAAGTTTGATCAAAACAACTCTAAAATACCCCAATCTAATTCAGGTATCTTAAATGGTTAAAACCTAGTATCATATAACATGGTGAGTTATCATTAATTATACAAATTGAAATGTGAAACAAAGGCAAATTACTAAACTTCTAATGACTACAATATCACAATAACCACTAACAAAATTATTGGTAATTAATGTATTCTATATAACATTTAAATAGTGGGGAAACTAATGTTTTTTTTTATAAATTTGGAGAAAAGGGTTTAATGTAAACATCTTTCGAGATACATTTAGAACCTCTGCTATTAATTTAGGAAAAGCAAGTTTCCTATTCATTAATCAACTTTATCTAAGTTCCTCCAAGAGATATGGGTCCCACATAGTAATGCAGACTGGATGTACAACTACCTCCCCATGAGGAAAAAGCAAGAATGCTATACGATAACTAAAAAAATTAATTTTAATTTAAAAAAGAACTAAAGTGATTTGAAACAGCAGATCATACTGTCCCTTCTCCCATTGATAGAGTTTTCTGTAAGTCAATTACCATCATTACCAAAATAAATCAGGACGAGTGAAAGCCTTGCCAACAGAGGAGTCAAAGTGCATGCCACATACTTGGAACCATCTCTAGAATTTTACTACAATGAGTTGAAAACTCACATGGACAGCTGGTACCTGTGAACATCGGCCTGCATTTCAAAATTCAAGCCCACCCATCTCAAATGAATGCAAGTGTTTTCTTCCTCTGAATGTCTCACTGTTAAATCCATGTCTACAATGCTCTGCTTACTTGTAGAAACTTACCTCATTAAAAAGATCTGTCCCGTCTGCTCCTGCTGCTCTCATAAGTTCATCCTCCCCGCCAGGATGATACTCCATATATGGGCTGACATTGTAAACAAGGCCTGCATCAAAGCAAGGAGAAATAATATCCAAATGAACTTCCTAAAAATTATAAAACCTATAAATATAAGGCCCACTAAATCTCTCCCAACATTTCATTTAGGAGTTCATTTTATCAAATTATAATGAACTGTAAAGTCTGAAATTACACTGCTCCTGCAAGCTACCTAATTAACCTGCCAGTTTCCTGGTCTCTTATAAAAAACAGGGGGCTTGTTGGTTAAGACATGAAAGTTTAATATATCAATACCTGCACTAGAAAAGCAAAAATTGCACCAGCTCCTTGAGCGCCAATTCCTACAGAGCTATGTGAAGAGGGTCCAGTGATCTGCACACTGTTCCTCTGTGAGAGGAACCTGGACCTTCCCTAGAGGGAGACATGATCTTTATTAAGCTGACCCATGAGTAACCCATTTTTGTTCTAGGAGGAGATACCATACTAACCAGGTTTTTTCAGCATTCAAAGATTCATGAAAATATTGTCCAGAACACTGTCTCTGCAACAGACCACATAGAATAGCCTCCCAACACAAAGAAACTCTCTATATAACTTTTGAATGCACACACACACACACACACACACACACACACACACACACATACACACACACACACACACACCCCACAGAAATAAAACCTCATTCCATTGCTGTCTACTGCCCTGGTGAAAATCGTGAGTCAGATCTTTAGTAAGGCTAAGGAATTATGAGCCTTCGGGCCTACTCTGTAAAAGAAGGCCTGTCTCATCTCTTCATCTTTTGATTTTCCCCAAATATTTATTAAATCTATGCATGCATTCAACTATATCTTTATCTTTAACAAAAAGGAACAGGGAATAAAGCAGGACGTGCTGACTGGAGGCCTCATCAAGGAAGCAAGCTTTTTGTATCTGTATTAGAAAGCTAACAGCAGACAAATCCAGCTGTGTTCCAGTATCTCAGAATGCCTCTGTTGCAGTTTCCTCAGAATTCTGCATCCAGAACAACTTCAAGGCTGCTGGTTAAGATGGTCCAGCCTCACAGACTACTCCAGCCAGGACTTCAGATAAGCCTTGCACTTTCCCAAGACTGGACAACAAACAATACAACTAACTCTCCCAGGACTTGACCATTATCCCAATTTTCCCAGGGTCTCTTAAAGATTCCAGTACCCCCAAACAACAGGAATCAGTCTAGAGAACACAACACCCACACTCCCAAGGGGTGGGGTGGAGAGTTTTTGGTCATTAGATGGATTATAGATGTTTGTCATCGTTTAGGGAGGTTGGTTACAAATTGTTACTGGTCACAGTCGGGGGAAAGCTAAACAAAGGAGATTAGATTCAGAGATTATGGTGATATTTTATTTGTATTAAAATATTATTTGTATGTTAATAAATAAAGTTGCCCGGGGGTCAGAGCTATTAGCAAGCCATAGGAAAGCAGGGCAGTGGTGGTGTACGCTTGTAATTCCAGCACTTGGTAGGCAGAGCTGGGTAAGTCTCTGTGTGTTCAGGGATACAGCCATTATTGGATACACATGCTTTTAATCTTAATACCAATCATGGAAAACCTGGAGGCCTATACAGACAGGCTGTGAGGAGGCGGTCATGTGGTTGGGTTTACAACCAATGAGAAGGCAGGACAGGAACTCTATATAAAGACTTTAACACAGGGGTAGCTCTGGTTCGGAGAGGTAGGACCACCGCAGGAGGAAGGGTAAGGTTTTAGCTCTTAGCTCTGACCTCTTGGCTTTCTTCTTTGCATTGGTTCTGTGTTTCTTATTTAATAAGAAGGTTGGATACATCTACATTTGGCGCCCAACGTGACAAGAATTCATTAAAAACCGCTTGGCTTGGCTTGGCGGCAGGTCTGGTTTCCAGCCTGGGCGGCCCGGCTGCCTAGCTTGGGCCCAGGCCTGACTGACCCGCAGCTGGAGCTACTTGCAACTGCTACAAACAACTCAGACCTGCCCTGCTGAACAGGGCCCTTGCCTGTAAAGCCAAGGCTTGACTCGGCTCAAGCGGCTACACTTTCTCTCTCTCTCTCTCTCTCTCTCTCTCTCTCTCTCTCTCTCTCTCTCTCTCTCTCTCTCGCTGGATTCACACCTCGAACACCAGGTGGCTGTGAAATTCCCTGGGATTCTACTGTTCTACCCAGACTTTGTAAGTCAATTAACATATCTATTTAAAAGAGAATTTTTTTCTACATTAAAAAAAAATGGGCTTTATGTGTACATTGGAAGAAAATTGGGCTTTGTTTGAAATTTTAGGCACTCTGACAATGGAACAACTATATGAAAAGATTAATATTGATCGAATTATTCAGTTTATTACTTTTCTTATCCTCATTTTACTATTTAAAAAGATCGTCAACTTAAGTGCCAGGATAACAGTCTTAGAAAAACTTGTTAAACCAGTAAAAATGAATTATAGAGAAATTCAAATTCAGACAGAAGAAATAAATAGTGAAGTTTCAAAATTGGATCGTAAGGTTACAGAAAGAAAGCCAGTTTTCACACAATCACCCTTAATTTATCCAGTAGCCGTACAGCAGCTACCTGATGAAGAGAATGAACAAAATACTTGGGTTCCAGTTGAAATGTTAGACTTACGAAGATTTAAGGAGGCAATAGCATCTTATGGCATGCACTCCCCATATGTAAAGCAAATGTTAAACACCTGGTCAACTTGTAATAGGATTATACCAAAGGACTGGCGGGAATTGGCACAGGCTGTTCTTGAACCCGGACAAAATCTCCAGTGGAAAATGTGGTTCAGTAATGAGGCTAAAAATATAGAAAGACAATGGAGGGATAGCGGAATACAAGTCTGCCAGGATCAGCTTATTGGCGAAGGCCAATATGCTTCAGTACAAACACAATGTTCATATGATGTCCAAACCCTACTTCTATGTAAAACGGCAGCTTTGAATGCATGGGACAGAGTTGAAGAACCAGGAAAAAAAACTGAGTCATTTACAAAGGTTATACAGGGCCCCAAAGAATCTTTCACAGATTTCTTACAAAGATTGACTTCAGCAGTACAAAAAATGGTCCCGAATTCAGAGGCTAGTCAGATAATAATTGAATCTTTAGCCTTTGAGAATGCAAATGCAGCGTGCAAAAGAATAATTAGGCCGTTAAAGGCAAGATCTGCACCTTTGGAAGATTGGATTAGAGATACAGTTAATGTAGAGGCTTATGACCATGATGATATGTGGGTAGGAAAAGCAATTTCAAAAGGTTTGAGCAATGTTAGATGTTTTGGATGTGGAAAGCAAGGACATTTGAAAAGGGATTGTAAACAGGTCATTCCTAGAAATAATGTTTATTCAAGGAACACTGGCAACAGAATGCCCCTTCCTTCTGGAGTATGCAGAAGGTGTGGTAAGGGAAAACACTGGACCAACGAATGTAGATCAACAAGGGACAGACAGGGTAACCCTCTGCCTCGAGCTTCGGGAAACTCCCAGAGGGGTCTCAGGCAGGCCCCCACAGTAAATCCAGTTCAAACCTTTCCTGCAGTTGTAGAGGAAACCCCTACTCAAAGCAACTAAATAACCAAATGTCTATTGGAATAAATCATGTTAGTCAAGATGATGAAACAGAGAAAATAGGAAATTCAGGAAAAAACATAAAGAAAATTTTTTGGCAAACTTCTATTAATGAACAAAGACCAAAACTAACAATAAAAATAAATGGTGTTTTGTTGTCTGGTCTGGTAGACACAGGTGCTGACATTACCATAATTGCACCAGAATTTTGGCATCCAACTTGGCCTCTTCAGGAGGTAAACATTCAACTCTTAGGAATTGGGACATTATCTAGAGTGAAACAAAGTGTAAGATGGCTTGAATGTATAGGTCCAGAAGGACAGAAAGGAAAATTAAAACCATATATGGCTAACATAGCTATGAACCTGTGGGGTCGAGACTTGTTACAACAATGGAATACTCAGATTAATATCCCTCCAATCTCAGAAACAAATCATAAATTAGTACATGTTTCTGAGAGAAATATTAAAAGATATTATTCTAATGAGTGCTCACCAGCCATCCATGTCATACAAGAACAGGGCACAACAACTGATAATCTTCCAAAAACATTAACAGCTCTACCTTTAAAATGGTCAACAGACAAGCCTGTATGGGTTCAGCAATGGCCTTTAACAACAGAGAAACTCCAGGCTTTACAAGAGCTGGTGGAAGAACAGTTAAATGCTCATCATATTGAAGAATCAACCAGCCCTTGGAATTCTCCTGTATTTGTTATAAAAAAAAAATCTGGTAAATGGAGAATGGTAACAGACCTTAGAGCAATTAACAAAGTAATTCAGCCAATGGGCTCTTTACAATCTGGAATTCCTTTACCTACTCTGTTACCAAAAGGCTGGCCTCTCATAGTTATTGATTTAAAAGACTGTTTCTTTTCAATACCCTTACAAGAAAAAGACAGAGAAAGATTTGCTTTCACAGTGCCTACTTATAATAATTCTCAACCGGTTAAAAGATTTCAATGGAGGGTTCTCCCACAGGGAATGTTGAATAGCCCAACTTTGTGCCAATATTTTGTAAAACAGCCATTAGAAGTGGTACGTAAAAAATTTCCTAAATCTATAATTTATCATTATATGGATGACATTTTATTAGCTGATTCAAATGCAGATACTTTAGAAAGAATGTTTGAAAAAGTAAAGAAAATTTTGCCTTGCTGGGGATTACAAATTGCTTTAGAAAAGGTACAAAGAGGAGATTCTATTAATTATTTAGGATATAAAATAGAACTTCAAAAAATTAGACCTCAAAAAGTGCAAATTAGGAGAGATCGACTACAGACTCTTAATGACTTTCAAAGATTATTTGGAGACATTTCTCATCTAAGAACTATTGTTGGGGTAAAAAATGATGAACTGAATAATTTGTTTAAAACCTTAGAAGGTGATAAGGACTTAAATAGTCCAAGAGAATTATCACCTGAAGCTGAGAAAGAATTGGCCTTGGTAGAAAAGAAAGTACATGAAGGG